GCTGGTAGTCAAGTTGTCTGGTTGCTGTTCATTGCTGCAGTTGTAGGATAGGTTGTAGAGTAGATAGGGCGCCTGGCGCCATTCACAAGAGAGAGCTACATTTGGGTTATGTTGTTGGTGTTGCCCTGGTGGGCATGGACATTGACTCACGATTCTCCTTTATCATTCTCAATGGGATGTTTACTCGGTTCCATGTGCTATCTACTTTGGCTTTGAATACTTGGACTTCAGTGTGATTTTGCATTCTGGATTTTTGTGCTTCGCCCATACTCATGTTCCTTGCAATTTGGTATCGGAGCTGGTTTGATCGCCACTTACCTTTGGCATGCTGGCGCTATACAGACTTGGTGCGTTGATGATGCTTCTTCGCAGTGGGTACTTGTGACGTCAGGCTACACCAGGTGCACGCGCTGGGTAGAGAAGGGTGCACCGGAAGGCTATTAACGACATTATTAGCCGTGGGATAAAGCGGAATGTTTGATTGGTGATGAAAGCATGCTGATGTGGCATTGGACTAAGGTGGCACTGCATTGCGTTGTGGGTGGTACCGAGGTCATGACCGGTCATCAAATGCAAAATCAGCTCAATTGGTGAGAAATTTGTGGTTGGGGCCAGCTATCTCCTGGTACGTTGTTCCCTTACCTTATCTACTCTCTCAATCTCTTCTTACCGTGAGGAAGTGAATCCAACTTGAGAGTCCTCTCTTTTGGTGAGGTGTCGTGAGCGCGCTACCTTGAGATACGACAATCTTCCCGGAAGCATACTGGAAGGAGAAAGGGCGGTGCCTCTGAAGGGCCCTGGTCGAAGCACTTGGGTCACGGTCACCATGCCAACCCACAGGGAGCAGTGCACGCATGCGATGGCTGCTGTCCTGTTTGGCACTTGCTGCGCTGATAGAAGTTCCTTCGGGTGTGCCAGCACATGACAGACGCTTACCAGACCGTCTATAAACATTTATGGCTGGGAGTTCATTGTGATTCTGGCTGTGATCGTCGTCCTGATTGCGACGTTAAATAAATCCTGAAGAGATGGGGGCGCTCTATAAATCCCTCCTGATCAGCCAGATCACATGGACAGGAAGGCTCGTCGCCGTACGAGGGTAAATAAGAGTGGTTGGGCTGGCTTGCTCGGTGACAACTTGGGCACAGGGGTGGGCCGACATGCACACGAAGACACTGCCTGCTTTATGGTGCTGTTTGGATGGTTGGATTGAGGGGAAGGGTAGGTTCCAATTGGTGCTCAATTGTAAACACAACAATACCCATCAATCATACATCTGCTGCATTGTCTTTTTGTACTTTGATTAGTTGGCTGACGGACTGCTAACCTCACATACAGATTAGTTTAGGACTGTTGTATGCTACCATAGCCAGTTCTAACTAACGCTGATGTAGATGAACCATTCAGGGTGCGTCTAGACAATGTAGACAATCTGTGTGAATGTTGTAGACATGCCACTTGATTCGGTATAGAAGGATACTCGCCGGACACAACTATTGTTAGAAAATTAGGTGCCGGTCAGATACATGCTGTGGTAGGATTCCACTAGGGGATTCTAGTGCAGAAACTATCGGCCTAACTAATGAGTGGATCAAAACCTGGTGATGATAGAGCAGACACTAGAAGATTAACACGTGCACAGGCACTAAGGGTACCGCACGTGTTCAGGACCTTGGACGAGGAAGAATTAAGACAACTTCGCGCCGAACGCAGAGCCTGTGCTCTCGCAGCATCGAGAGCAACAGCAAATGCCGCAGCTAGGGAACAGGCTGCCGCAGCAGCTAGGGCAGCAGCCATGACTAGCTCAGCAGCATCCTCTGCAGCTTTGTCAGGGACTAATGGGATGAGTGTGGGAATGCCAACTAGTTCCACGAGTTCCTCGGGCACTTCCGAGTCTACAGGTTCTAGAGGGTCTTTTAGTCAAATGGCAGGCTCGCAGTTCAGCCCCATAACCGCACGAGAGCGGGAGCTCAGAGAGATCCAACAGGTCGAGAGGCTTCGCCAGCAGTTAGAGGAGGATCTGAAGAAAGCAACCGATAGAGAAAAAGAGTGAAAAAGTAGAGCAGCCAGACTTGATACGTTAGAGGCTGACAAGGCTGCGTTAGAGGGATTGGACGAATCAAGTTTGTCTGACCCCCTGAAAGTGTTGAGGGACAACATGTTGTCACTGCATGCGCATGTGGACAGCAGGATGGACTTCATGCAAAGCACTTTGGACCAGATCCTGGATGCATTGACAAAGCCAGGATTCCGGCCACCAGCACAATCGCCGTTGTCGTTAACGGCGATGTCAGGCCCCTTTGCCGTACAAGCTGGCACACAGCCAAGTGGTACGTCTGCAGTAGCAACACAGACTGTTGCATCTTCTTCTTCGGGTCCAGTAGTGATTGCTACATCACCACAACAACCTGTTCAGCAATCTGGACAGCAGCAAGGTCAATGGTACCCCAAGACCCCAATGAAAC